TCTCCCAAAAAAAAATACCCTAAAAAAATGTACCCCCTAAAAAATTCTCTTTTTTAAATTCTCCCCCTAAATTTAGGGGGGAAACCCCCCAAGTTGGCATCACTGGTGATCTGGCTAATGGTCAGGTAATGCAATAAAGTTGAAAAGAGCAGATTATTTGTAGAATAAAGGTAGATTACCAACTAGGCATTCTAAACAAAAGAATTGTGGGTGGGAAAGTTTGGTATGTCTAAAAGGTAGACATATGATGTATTCTATTTACAATATGTGAAGTCATGAATAGAGGATTAAATTTAAATATTTTATGCCAAACAATGAAAAAATTATTTTTAAAAAAGCGCTTATACATTTTTCATAAATTGTCATGCAACACTTTGTATACCTAATAAAATTCATGCCATCTATTGAATAAATAGAACATGTTCCATTTTGCAAGTTTAGCACATTTTGTTGAGATTTTCTGGCTAACGACCTGGTGAAAAGTTACTAGCTGCCATCGAGAATGTTTTATTCATAGTCAAGCAGCCACTATTCACTTACAGGCCTTTGAGTACTTCAGCGACATTCTGTTTCAGTTCCTAGTCCAAACCATGTGAATTTTGATGTATAATAAATATTCTTTATTTCTTACAATAAGAGATACTTGCTTTTAAAAAATGCAAAACTTAAAGTAGGTACTAGGGATAGAACGATACCGATATTGATATCGGTATATCGGCAGTTGTTGCCGATTATCGGTATATTGTCCTTTTACAGGTATTACACGTAGCTTTTTCGTTTTCAGATTTATCTGAGTCTGTGCATCTTCTCAAAATGTCTCCAAAAGATGCTCCTTTTACCTTTGTCTTTACTTTTAATTTTTTTATTTTCCGCTTTACACTACCCTGTCCAAAATAATCTGCAACCATTCTCTTTCTACCAGCGCCTGTGAAATATTTTATCTCTAATTAACAGTCAATTTTTAAACGCCGTGTTTTAAAGCACTACAGAATATAAGGGGTTTCCCCGAAATCCGAAATGTCACAACCGTTTCCTCGCGACGAAATTATATAACGGGACTTCCCCGGTTTTTGCTTCGGTCGTGTATAAATAGATGGCGCAATCGCAAACGTTTCCTTGCAGCGGAGTTATAAAACGGAACTTCCCCGGTTTTTGCTTCGGTCGTGTATAAATAGATGGCGTTATGTTTGCCGATACGATATATCGGTATATAGGCATATCGGCACGCACGTAAATATCGGTATCGGCCGATATATCATATCGGCAAAAAAATGATATCGTTCATCACTAGTAATTAAAGCAAACAAGATTTAGGCTTGGAAATAAATACGAGCTTAAACTTTTTTGAAAACTGACAGGCGTTGTAGGAAGTGCTGTAATTAGCAGTAATTTATTTTCTGTTGATATATAAATCGCCGCGCGTTACATTACCGATGATGGATGCGTGGGGATTTCCTCGCCTGTAAGTAATACCATCAATCATCTGTAAGTCGCACCCCAGAGTGCCACGACATAAGCTTTGTTCGCGGTAAGAATCCTGAACCGAATTATTACTAACAGTAACCATTTCGCAGGCGCAGTAGTTAAAAAGCGTTCGCGGAACAAAAAGAACTGAACTATTTGTTCTATCCTGCGTTCGCGGTAAAATTATTATTGGTTTTGAACCGCTTGTCTATACCTGAAACACCGAGATATAATAGGGATTGCGCGCGCGGTAAAAATTCAGAATTGATAATGATTCGGGCATGCGCTCAAAGTATGAATTAGTAATTCTGAATCAGTTCAGGATTGTTACCGCGAACGAAGCTAATAGTAGCTGTCCTTTCCCTGTAACAATCTCAGCGGCTGGGGTTAAAATTCATCGTAAGGGGGTGAATTATAGGGATATTATTATAATAGGCCAATTTGTGCGCTGGTATTTGCTGGTAACACCAAAATATTTTGACAATAAATATTGACAGCATTTTTTCAATGTGTAATTTTCCTCTTAATTCCTGCAAGAAATTTGTGTTCACTGCGCATGTCTAAAGGCATATTTGATGAAAGTTTCCTGCTGTTAAATAAATAGAACCGATTCTATTTATTTGTGAAGTTTCTGTGGAACGTTGATGGAATTTTATAGTGATTTTGGAGATACCAAACTGGAGAAAAGTTACTAGCGGCGATTTAGACTTTTTGTTATTTGAACACAAATTACAAGATTAGCAGAAATGCATAGCATGAAACTAGCAACAAATTTGCATGGGGGAAAAGCTGCTTTTACAGATACGTTCTTAAATCGTTTTTTAATATACAGACTTATTATTATTAATGTTAATATCCTTATTACTTTAAAATTAATTTCCTATTTATTTTTATAAATAAAGTAAATATTTTAACTTTGATAAATTTTAGACAATGATTTATATTTAATTTTAATTCAGTATGCACATGCAAAAACGTTAGTTGGACCATTGGAATAGTTAAGAAATAAAACTACAAAGAAAAATAACTTTTTTTTATAAAGCAGTCAGAAATATGATGAAAAAAATCAATATTTATAAATGGGACAAAATTTTAATTTTTCTTTTGGTTTTGTCTTGACTTCTTTGAGGATTTCAAATCTTTGTTTGCATATTTAAGAGTATAAAAAATTCTAAGTCTTATAAATAATTTAATGGTGTACATTTTCGCAAATTGTTGGCAAGGATGACCAAATTCTATTTTGCTCATCTCAAAAAGGTATGCGTTGGAAATTCCAGGCTTAGTTGACAAACCATCAATAGATATAATATTTTTTCTAATTTGAAAATATAAAAGAAATTTTTCGCTGTGAAATTTTAAATTGCCAAACACCTTTTCTTGAGAAATTTACACAAATTTCGCAAGAGTGGATATGTAATGATTTTTTGATTAAATAGCCACATACATAGTTAAATGTATTTTGAGTGGTCACATTTAGTTCCCTGTAGTCACATTTAGAAATCGTTATTGCCCCAACTGATTGTTTTGAATTATATTTAATTTTCATTAAGCGGAGAACTTGTTTTCCTAAGGGAAAAACGAATCCCGGGATTGCTTTCCAGTGTGTGTCCCACTGCCGCTAGTGCCCACGAACCGCCACTGATAATATGCCTTTTTTAATCTAACCTCAACTTAAATTTGTATATCAAAATAGTTACGAAGATGGAGGAAAAGAATTAAGTACTGAAGAAGGACATGATCGGTATCGAAAGCTTTGCTTGAAACCTGTGTTTCATTTAGTTTCACATTTATACCTAAAACCCAAAAATAGAAGATAAATCCTAGTAATAATTATATAAGTTTTTCCCTAATTCATCCCCTTCCAAGTGAATTTTAACACTGTGTTATAACACGGCTATTATTTATGTTATTTTACAGGTGAGGAAAACTGAAAACCTCACCCACCATAATAATAAATATATAAATAACAAACTTGCTTAGGTGTTTCTGTGGTTCACTCGTGGGAAGGTAAATTATAATAGATTAAAATAAATCATGATGCACAAATAAGATAAATTTTTTTAACGTCCTTGATGTGCTGATGGTTAAATAAGAGATAAGAAGTATACTGAAACACATTGCAAATAGACATGACTCATCTAAACAGAATTTAGAGAAATCTATCAAGGGAAATCTCAAATTCCATGATTATTTACTAGATTTTAAGTTAGGTTATATAGTTTAAGTATAATTAATCTCAACATTTTTTTTTATATTTATACAGATTCACCTGTTACTATAATTAAAAATAACCTAAATTTTTCACTTGCCTACTAAAATACTGATAAGGCTACATTTTAAATATTTATTCGTAAATAACAGTGGGATCTACTAGTTTCGGCCTATCTGGTCATCGTCAGTCATGGAATATAAAATAAGGGATCTAAAAAGTATAATTAAAATGTACAATACTTACATAATGTGAAACGTTACAAATCCATTAAGTGATTGTGGTGTGGAGCCAAATTATAGTTATAGATATTGAGAAAAATTACAACAAAAAACGGTATTAGAAAAAAATTTAACACAATTGGTACAATTCAGTTAATGATTATACTTACAGGGTGTTTCATTAATAATTGTCCATATGGTAGTAACTGGAGAATCCCAATATATGACTATTTAACCTAAAGCATTTAGATATATTTATACTTGGCAAAAAGTTTATGCCTGTTATGGCACTTTAAATTTTTGCAAAAGATAGTTTTCTGCTATTACCTATACATTCTACGCCATGTCGTATCTAATGAATATAATGACATATTTTTTGATACCTCATTATTTTCTATCTGCATCGCTATTTGGTAAGATATTTGTGAGCGAAGCTTAAAATGTCGTTTTAAGCTTGGCTTATTTCTTAATGATCAATGGTGCAAATGGGTTTTTAATATATTTAGCCTAAAAGGTATAAGGTTTCTATAATTTAATGTAATTGCTTACGTGCATCTCTTAAGAATTTCGTCAATTTTACTAAGCTTGAATTGAAACACCATTCTTATTGAAAAAAATTAGAATTGTGTAGCTGTATAAGCAGAGAGATAGATGATATTGGAAACAATCTTCTGGTAAATGGTGATTGAAAATATAACCCAATTTTGCAGAATGTAGGTGCGAAAGTCGAAAAAAAAAATAACTTCTGTTTTATAGGTGACCCTTCCTATGAACCTTCATGATTTCTTGACAACTGTATAATTTGGCTTCACGTCACACTATTAAACCACCTAATTTATGTTAAGTTTTTACACTTTATATACTTTTTCCTATCAAGCCTGTTGGTGGATACATGTGGAAACTAGTAGCTCCCCCTGCTATTTACTATTAAACATTTTTATGTTGCTGATTTTTGGTAGTAGTCTTATTCCTATTAAATATTTGTACAAATTCGAGAAAAACGAAGAATCTCACTCTAAATATTATTGTACCTTACTAAAAGATGCACATTCAATTTAGTGACTAATTTATACAAGTTATAAAATATTTTGTAATTTTTTTTACAGATGATGAAAGGTGATTTCTATGTCATTGAATATGTTGGTTGGGAAACAACCTACACAGAAATAGTTAGCATTGATCGTCTTAGGGCTAAAAACAATAATCCACCTATTGATAAAAATATGTTCAATAAATTTGAAATTGAAGTTCCTGATGATGTTCGTGAATAGTAAGTCATATATTTTTTGGACATAATGAATTTCTTGGTTGATGATGAACTGTATCTATTAAAGTTTAAAATTTTTAGTGCCAAGAAAGAAAATGCTCATGCAGAGTTTCAAAAAGCAATAGGTGCTGGTTGCATAACCTACAACGCTGAAAAAAACGTTCTTTTAGTAATATCTAGGAGAGAATCAAGCCGTAGTCGTGCTGCTTTACTGCAAGACATGCATTTCAGAAGTCTCTCACAAAAAGTGCTCTTATTAAAACGTACAGAAGAAGCTGCCCGTCAACTGGAGAGTACCAAATTGGCGACCATAGGAGGGTAAGTCTAAGATGCGTTTTTGGTGTAGTAAAATATATACAAAGGTATAAAATTCGGTTAAAGAACTGATAACAAAACTAATATGACCAAAAGGATCCTAACTACAATGTGTTATTCTGATATTTTTAATGAATCGACCTCCTTATAACCTGTTAAAAATATAGTCCAGCTCGCCTGTGGCTAGTGCATTGTGGTAAATTTGAGAAATACATATTTATAAAATCTTAACATCTTGAATATGTTGATGAATCATAAATAAATTGTAACATGTTTTTACTTTTACACTTCTATAATATTGAATGGTCTCTATTTCTTATATCAAAATTAATTTAAAAGTTTTTTTATTTCAGCAAATATAAACCTGTGCGTCATCATAATTTTTACACAGGACGGGCCAGCAGGTGAGATTGAGGCAGCATGTTTTATTAGTATAAATAAGTAGGTTTTACCTGGCTCTTCCTGTCGGTGTGATTTTGTTGTTACAAATTAGAGACCATTCTAATATGTTAGTTTGTGTTGGCATGGGGGTTATTTGTAAAAGAGCACGATTTTATAATTCTTTTATATGTATTTTGAAAAAGAAGCATTGTAGTATAGTGTTTAGATGGTAATACCAAGTGTTTTTCATTTTATTTTGCAGCTATTTCAGCTGATGTCTTGCATAGGCAACATTTAAATAAAAATTGCAAATAGTGTTTTGTATATCTGCATCCATCATAGAGTTGGTAAATTATTAATAAAATACATAAGCTGTACAACTCTAATAATCTAATTCAAAAAGCATAATTAAATATTTACCTACATGTAAATGTATAAAGATACATTGTGGGCCTTTACTCTAATTAGTAAAATTCAAGTAAATGAGATTATTTCCTCAAAACATTAACAACTAAATATTCGTTATTTATTTATGTCCCGTTGGTAATATGAATTCCATAAGATGCAATTATATTCAACATTAGATCTCACCAATGAACAATATAATAATTTTATCGAACGTTTGGATCTCATGATAAATCTCAGCATTTCCAATGCCTTTGAAGTAACTAAGGAATAATAATATAGAAATGACAAATTGGAATCAAATGTAACACCAAGATCTTTTATGGTATCAACTTTATGAAGTGGATGATTGTCTAATGTATAATGGAAAGTGATTTGATGGCATTTTCTTGGGTTTATTTAAGTAGATTTTACACCAACTAACAAGGTTATCTCAGTCTGGTATCCTAGATTGTTTTAATAGCTATATAGAATTTAAAATCGTATGCAAAAATACACTTTTGTATAACCTCTCAGTTACATCGTTTATGAATAGATTAAATAATAAAGGACCTAAATGTGATCCTTGTGGCACACCTAAAGGTTCCCATATCTTACATACTGAGTACATCCTTTGAGATAACTGTCCAGCCATGAAATTATTGAGCCAACTATTCTTACTTTGGTAAAATCTGTATATATTGCTTCGACCTGTGAGCGCTCTTCAGAAGCACCAATTTTAAAGTTTTTTATGAAGCACCAAATTTGTAGTTGTAGATTTACCAGGCATAAATCCAAGTTCACTATTATAGATTTAGTGTCCCATGGCAATTTTTTTTGAAACAATACATTCAAGTATTTAAATTTTTCTAATCACAGTGACGATTGAAAATTTACTGCATCTTCCAACTCTACTTTTTCTTCAAATACGCCACATTAGTGTGACGCAATTTTGGTTCCACTGACAAAGTTTTGGTAACTAAATGATTATATATTTGATGCTTATTTACTTAACTTTAGGAATATATTTATATAAGTTAAAAAACTATATAATTTAGGCCAGTGTGCTCCGCGAGCCCTAGGGCTCCGCAAAGCCTTTGTGGGGGTTCCGCGAAGAAAATAATAGTCATAATAAAAAAAAAAAGAAAAAAAGAACCAGTACCATTGCCACAAGCTTTTCAAAAAGGTTCCGTCGCTAAAAAAGTTTGAGAAACACTGATTTAAATAAACAAAACCTACTCAAAATGGCAACTGTCACATTGTCAGTGAAACCAAAATTACATTATCACTAATTAAGTATTTATGTATGTCTTAAAGGATTTTTCTGTAGGTAAATTAGTCCAAATGCTTTGAATGCCGCTGCTACTTTTTTTATACTTATTTTATTTTGCGCTTTCTTTATTTTGCGTCTATAACAGTGTTTGTAAAACGACTCTACACGCAGCCTAAAGAGGGCGCTTAATTTCCTCTTCTGTGATTTATTGTCATTTCAGACACAAAATAAAAAAATCAGATATGACAATTAATGATTAAATTCTTGAAATTTGTGATCTTACTGATACAAAACAAACTATTTTCAACTTTATTTGTTGCTTTAATGATGTGATTGTATTTTATGTACATTTTTTGTTGAATTCTCCAACTTTTATTGTTGATATTGGTAAAAAAAACAATACAATACTATATTCAAGAAATAGCTGGTTGTCCTTGTGCAATTTGCACAGTTGTAATAATAAATACTTCTTATTTAACAATTAAATACAAATATTTGTCATTGGAAGGTTAAGATTAAAACATTTTCAGTTAAAAAATATATATTCAATTATGAGCAAACAAAGTGAAGTAAAATCGATTATTATTAATAATAATAATAATAATAATAAGAGGCTTATAATGAAAGTTATTCCTTCTTTTTAAAGGTTATGAAAGTATTCAAAGAATATAGGTATGTAATTATTAAAAATAGTAAATTGTAACCCAACCTTCTTTCAAAAAGAGCAGTAAAATGGTTGGTATGGTTAAAGAAAAATGTAATCAGTGATATTAGAAGTGTTACACCCAAAAGGAATAATTTCATAAACCTTTATTTTTTGGCAACAGAATGACTACTTAAACCATGCTTAGATAATAAAATTTATTGCAGCTTCAGCAAATAAATGGTGAACGTCATTTCAGTACATAATAATGAGTTATTCCTTAATAACAAATGATACACAAAAAAAATTTCTCGAGTAGGCCAAGATAGGAGTCACATCCGTGATAACTACGAATTCCTCTGGATTATATTCCTTGGTCTACTCTAAAAATATATTTTTTTGTTGATCTTTTCATATTTTTGCATAAGAGTAATTAAGTGTAGTATTTCTGAAATACTTCCCTCTAAATCAATAATAAAATACTTAAATCTGAAGTTAGCAGGCATTAATTACTACATATAGGGTCCGATTACAATAAGAGGAACACTACGTCACAACCATTTTAAATTTCAAATAAAAATTATCTATAACTAACTAAATGAAATAAAGAATAGATAAATATTATACAAATTTCTATAAGATCGGCTAGTAATAGTGACAACGTAATTTGAGGCAAATAAATTCCATGCTAATATAAGACATTGCAAAACTGAAATTTTGTCCTTATCCATATTTCTAACCTCATTTTAAAAATTTTTAATTACAGTTCATCTTTTTTATTTATAATAGTACATAATATGGAAGAGGCATTAGAAATTGTCATTTTAGAAGGTTTGGATGACGATGATATTAAATATTTATTATTAAAAAACTTCGAACGGATATGAATGTTGACAAGCGCACCCGAAAACTATAAAGTCGCCACTATCTGATGTCCTTAAACATCTACAATTTAGGACAGTCACAATATTAAAGTCAGTTCTAGAATGTAAGTGATCTGCGCATGCTCAGATGTCAAAATAAGAGCGGCACTAATAGTGACTGACCCTAGTGAACTTGCAATAACTAATAAGTTGTTGGATATAATAAAATAATTCCTATATTTCTATAATATTAATCACTAAACCCCCCAGTAGGCTTCGATCGCAAATTAATTACATAGCCAACTGATGACGCACCTGTATTATTGTAATCGGACCCTACATATGACACCAAATTTTCTGCCTTCAGTGCATTAGCTAAGTATGCATGTATTAATACCCTTGCCGTCTCATCGAGATCATAAAAGGATTGCTTAAATATTGCCACTATATATACTTTTTCTAAATCTTGTGAATGTTGCATACACTTTAGCCAGACTATCACATAGCATTTGCAATGAATATGTTTCACTGTTTCAATCTGCATGATTACAAAATATACTCAAGATTCAATATTAATTATTTAATCCTGTTTATGAACTTATTGCCCCTCTTCGTTTTGGACCATTTTTCTATTGGGAATTATTTTGAGATCTCTTCCAGGTCTATTTTACTTAGCCCATAAAACTGTTTTGGTCTGATAAAATGAGTCATTGCTTCCTCTTTTAAAAGTTTAGCTTTAGCAAAACTAATGATCATTGGGAACAGTATTAAAATTGTTTTAAAATTCACCGGTTTAAACTGTACGTTTTTGATATGAAACTAGTAGTTATTTTTAAGTAGAATGTATTATATAAAATGTTTTTCTTTTAGATATTCAGATGAATTTATTGTTAGAGAAGATTTGATGGGTTTGGCCATAGGAGCACATGGTGCTAATATCCAACAAGCTAGAAAAGTAGATGGAATTACCAATATCGAATTAGAAGAAAATTCATGCACGTTTAAAATTTATGGTGAGACTGACGAGGCTGTGAAAAAGGCAAGATCCATGTTAGAATATAGCGAAGAATCTCTACAGGTACCCCGCGCACTAGTAGGCAAAGTTATTGGAAAAAATGGTAGGATTATTCAAGAAATTGTTGACAAAAGTGGAGTGGTAAATAACATATTTTTTTGATTATATAATTTTTATTATATTTCGTTTCTTTTCAGGTTCGAGTTAAAATTGAAGGTGATAATGAGCCTCAGCCAACAATTCCACATGAAGAGGGGCAGGTACCATTTGTCTTTGTTGGCACTGTAGAAAGTATAGCAAATGCTAAAGTACTTCTTCAATATCATCTTGCTCACCTAAAGGTAAGTTTTATATTTTCAAATATTATGTATTTTCTAAAATAACCGTGATTATACTATAGGTTTTCACTGATTTTAAATGGAAAATGGACTGAAGTCAAAATTCTTTTTTAATATGTTATTTCTCTTTTTCTGTAGTATTTATAATATTATTATACTTTATCTAGTTATTATACATGTAGGAACAAGACATTTTTGAGAATAATAATTTTATTTAGTTTAAAACATAGTAAAAGTGAGATGACCATTTTCCTTGGTCATTTCATGAACTACAGGTTCTTTTGCTATTTGTGAATTTAGATCTTCTATTAACTAAGCTTTCTATAATGTTCTGCTAAATATAAATCTTTGGTTATAATCTATGTTGGAATCAAATTCTGGTGATAATCCAAATACTTCATTAAAGGACCTGGCCCGTCCGTCCATTGGACTAACAATTCGGTCGATATTGATTCTTATAAGTTTGAGAAAAAAGTGTGAAAACAAAAAATGTAGTGCTCAAAATTTACAAGACGAACTCTAGGTCTTTCACTTAAAGGTGGTTTTAGCTAGGAACTAGGCTGTAAATAACATTACAATTTTAATTTCAACAGTACAAAATTTAGCAAAATGCACATTACTGATTGGAGAGTTTTCAGAATGTTTACTTGGTAAAATTGTTATGCATTGATTTATTTCGTATTTTGTTCGTATACAAACTCAAAAACTATCAAGTACAGCATATGTATAGAAACGGTCGATTATCTTCTTAAGAAAGCTAGCGAAAAATGTTCAATATAAAAGTTTTAAGATTTTTTAAAATATATTGCAATAAATACAAATTAAGTATACAGGGACACTCAAAAAGTAATGACAAAACAAAGTTGCTTTTTCTTTAATGGAACACCCTGTATATTTTTCCATATTTCAATTCATCTCAACATTCTAAACAAAATTATATTTATAGCAAATCATTATATCGAAAACTTTTAAAAAGACAACTACTCTCATTTTTTTTAAGAAATGATAAATATTAAGAAAATTACACAAGGTGGGGGCTATGGATATGATTAAACTTTAATATTATTTTTTTAGAGAAATTAAAAAGCATAATAATTATTAAGGGTTGATAAAAATGCATATGAAAAAATGTATTTTTTAATGAAATCTTTGGCAATATCACAATAAAAGGTTTTTAAATAACATGGTCTAATTGTGTTAATTTATGTCTTCAATAAATTATATTTACAATCAAAGAAATTGTTTATTTTAGGAAGTAGAACAACTTAGGCAAGAAAAATTAGAAATTGACCAGCAACTCCGAAGCATCCACGGCTCTGGCCTTGGTTCAATGCAGAGCCTGTCCATGAACCGGCGCAACGATCGGGGTTACAATTCGGATATGGACAGCGGCGCACGATCTGGTAGAGGTTCCATGCGTGGTCGAGGAGGACGTGGCAGAGGCAGGGGCGGCGGCGACAGATACAACTCTGGTAGTACTATTTCAGATTACGTTAACAATTTGGATAAGCGTAAATACATGGGGAACGGTAGGGGACGGGGCGGTGGGCACGCTACGGCCAATGGGCGGCCACCTCGCGGGGGCGGTGTGAACAGAGATAGGTTGCACAGAGACACAGAGTCCGTAGGAATGGGGGACGACAGGGAACGAAAGTGATTTTCGTTGAATGTCACATGGCCTACTTGGTTGTCGACTTCCATTAAAACTAATAGGTTTTTGTATCAAATGCTAACTCGGCTTTATGCATCACAATGTTTACGTATTGGAGTTTCGTTTCAGGTTTGTTGCATGGAGCAGTCTTTTTGAATTTAATATATTGAAGTTATTTTTCAATTGGAAACAATGAGTAAGCAATCCCAAATGGATTTTTTTTTTTTTTTTATAAAATATCAAAACGTATATCTTCATTTATAACTTTTTACGACTTTAGTTTTAAAATATACTGTATTTGTATATGAAACATCAGGGAATGTTTGGACATTTCGGATTGGTCATGGAAAGCCAGGGAAGTAATGATTATTTTTATACAACAATCTTTTTTATCATATCTACAGAAATATTCTATATTGGTGGCTTAAAATCCTTTATATACCACTAAAATAATAATTGATAAAAATTTTGTTAATTGGTAATAGTGTGAGAACCAGCGACCGCTAGACATACCTTATAGAATAACGCTTATTTTTAATGTGTATATAACTATAATATGTAAGAAAGTTTGTGTATAGCACAAGTAGAAGTTGGAAAGGCTTTTGGTAGGTAGAGAGGGGGTAAACGTCAAACCACGTCGGACGGCTTCGAGAATTTCGCAGTAATGTTTACCTGCCAGTGTCGTTTCATAGAATAAGTAATTTTAAATTGTTACCGGCGGAACCGGACAATCGCATGTATTTATGGACTATAATTACTAAACATGTATTATAATATCCAAATCATAATTCTACAAGATTTCAACAGCTGTTCACAATTAAACTATTTACCCCTATTGTTTTTAAAATCTATAAAATAATTTTGTACGCCAATCTATCGCGTCCACTTCGGTTAGATCCGCCGCAAATATGTCAATTTATGTGTATAAAGAGGGAGAACTGTCAAAAGCCTTTCCATCTTCTACTTGAGCTTTATTATGAACCTTGACAACGGTGGGGTTTGACAGGTAACTGGTACTCAAGTCGCATAAGAATATTGGGATAAACGTTAGTTACAGTATATTTTATTGGGTTTAATTGAATAGCAAACTCCAATTAACAATTGCCTGACCCTTCGGGAATGGTTACATCTGTCACTACACTTTCAAGGTTACAAAATAAAGTTATATATTGCAAGATGCAAATGCATCATATTTAGGGCAATATACTTGATTAATTTGCAGGTATAAAAAGTTTTAAATTATCAGCAAATAGGTGTGTATATCTTTAGATGATAAAAATAAAAATGTTTACAGGACCTTGATCCTTTATCAATTCTTACGTCTTACATTCTACATAACAAATACGCAGTAAGTTAATGTGTCAAAAATACGATATTGTCCAGTTCAAAAGAGAAAAGGCAGAAGTGTTGTCTTTATCATAATAAAAGTCTATATGCCTTTTAGAGCACAAGATTCTCTCCACATCAAAACATAAATAAGCTAAATGTTTCCAAAATCTTACCAAAATTCAAACAGACAATATTTTTTATGCAATTCTTTAAAACCCACAAGATCCTTAGGATCCGCTATGGTTTTTAGCGACAAGTTTGGCAAAACCTTGTGTTTCACAGTGCCACTTTAGAAACTACTTTTATTTATTTTTTTATTAATATGTGTCATGTTTTGAATATATAAATAACTATAATTTATTTTGAAGTTGATATTTCAAATTATACTTTTTACATCAAAACTTATTAATAATAAAAGTTAATCTATAAACTGAACTGAGAGATGAGGCTGAGGTTCCTGTTATAAACAGTGCGTCTTTTGGGTAAAAAATGGCTGAAAAAATAAAGAAAGTGTCCAGTTTTGTACATATTCGGTGGTCTGGCAATCGCTGGCTCTTAATCTATTAGAGAATATATGCCAGTTGACAATAATATTGATATCCACTTTGACAATCCATGTTTGCAAATACCCAGTTTCAAATAACCTCTTTTTTTTAATACTATGAAATTCTCCATTTTCTAATGATCCATCATATAAAACCGTAATATGTTAAAAAGGCATATCTGATGGGGTTATTTTTTGTTTCCATATTTGCATGTTTTTTGCATTTTACGGTAATAGAATTTGACATTTACTTAAAGTTCTCAATGCCAAGTAACTTCACAAATCAAATAATCCATACCAAAAAGGAGGCTGCTCTATTTTTCGACTTTTGAATAAACGAAAAAAATATATACTTGACAAGAAGAGATGATGTATAAAGCCTGAAAATAATTTTCAAGTGACTTTATAGACTGACCCGGCCGATGACAATTTTTTTCAACTCTAAATGAAACTTATGCTTCTCTTCCATGTACGTACATGGATAGCGAGCACATTAAGACAAGGACTCTGAAAAAATTTTTAAAGTGTAAATTTTCGTTTTTTATTATTAGACAAGCGTCAGAATAAGGAAATAATAGGGATGGGCGAAATCTAATAGAAGTTTTTTTTGGATTAATGACAAACATGTTACTGTCACACATATTTTAAAATGTTGAAAATCCTATACAAAGTTTTCTCTATTGCATATTATGATAATACATTGGATTGCAAAAAGGCTAGTGATACCTGAGAATTCAAACATCTGAACATTTAACATTCTAATGTATGGAGTTTTATCATATTTTTCTTATTTTTGAACATAGGGCTTCTTGACCCATATAGAATATAGATTGTAGTGTCATCCCATTACATTACAACAAAATGATAACAATTTAATTAAAATATAGATTCCAATTTCTCTTAAAAATATGCAGGTATCCTAAATTCTATATAACAAACTTTAATTTTAGATTTTTTTTTATTTAGAAGATATCCCTCTTGAGAATATATTAAAATACAACTAACTATATAATATGTTTGAACTTCATTACTTTTTAGTATACTCTCTACTTATTCTGCTACTTGTACTTTTAAATACTACACATGTCTTTAAAACAAATTGCTTTTCTGTCGTCCTACATAAGCATCATTTTTCTTTTGAAACTGGTGGCAGTGTCGATATATATATTGTACATATGTATTACTTTTGGCCTATTCATTAATCTGTTCTGTGGCTAATATAAAACAGGTCTTGTCTTTAACACTTAATAGGATATTTTAGGGAAAAAATACAGCGTGTGCATGTGCTCTAGATGGAACATGTGTCAATGTTAAGGGAATGAGAAAAAAATATTAAAAAAAACTTAAAAGTTTACGGCGGGTTGTACAAAAAATTTTTAATTTTTAACGGTTATGTGCGGGTTGTACAAATAATGCTGTAAATAATAATAATAGATATAAATCATTAATAATGTAGTAAAGGATATTATTAAAAACAGTGAATACAAAATACATATAAAAGATAACAAAAAAGAGAAATTTTCAAAAATTGTCATCAAGCAAGTGCTTTAATACTATCCAAACTACTTGTGAAGATTTACAATATAACTTATTACATTTGACATTGAGAGGTGAGCTTAGGTCGGTTACAATAAAAATTTAAATGATGTCTGTTATTTTACCGAGGAACATTTAAATTCATTTTAGCTAAAATAGCAGGACAATCAATTAATTCAATCGTGATTTTATATAAAGGAAGTAAAAAGCTAGAAATCTCTGAAATTCAAGACTATCCATGTTAAAACTATCCAAAAGTAGCAGTTAATCGATTCTTCTTGGAGGGTAGACACCATTTACTTTGAAAGCTAAATATTTCAAAAAGTTCCTTTTAACAGATTAAACACTAATCATGTGAATATTATAGTAGGGATACCAGATAGTTTAACAGTACTCAAGCTTAGCGTGGATGTATAAATAGCATAATGTTTTTAATGTCCCTGAATCCACGACAGTTTTATATAACAAAACCATACATTTTGTTTTCATCTGAAACCTTTATATGCTCAACAAAACTTAGTTTCGAGTGAAAAGTGACACCCAGGTCAGTGATAGAGGAACAACGTGACAAAACATTAATATTATAATAGAACTCTGCTGTATTATATCTTTTTATGGTGTATATTATCACTTTACACTTAGATGCATTTAGTATTAACCTATTTTGCATGCACCAATAAACAGTCGTACATGTCTTAATATATATTTTAAAGTCATCTGCATAAATAAGTCTACAATAATTTAAATGATGATCGAAATCATGAATAGCAACGGTCCAAGGTTTGAACCTTGAGGGGCACCTGCTTTTGTGAAGTACACTAGTAAAGAATTACCGTTATGAAAAACAAAATACTGTCTTTCCAGAAGATATGACTTACAGAACCTCATCAAGGCCTAAGAAAAACCAAACTGGTTTAACTTATCAATCAATATCCCATGATTCATTCTGTAAAAAAAAAGTATTCGAAAAATCAGTGTAAATAACTTCCACTTGCCCACCTGTATCAACCGATTCAGATAAGTGTTTACCTACAAATGTAATATTTAAAACTATGTTTAAGGAAAACCGAGGATTATACAATGTGGTTCTCAGTTTAAACTAAGACCATTTTAACTGATTATTGTACAACACGCCCTTAGGGTATTTTGATAGTAAGCTGACGATATTTTTGAATCATCTCTGCAAAGAAAAGTATATTATCAATAAAATTCAATATTAGTTAAATATTTTGAATTGAATAACACCATTTCCCGCCCATTTCCAAAATTTAAATTATCTAGTAAAGGCTCAAAAATCGATCTTAGATAGATTTGATAACTCACAATAAATGAGTGTACCATAGCTACTTGCAATCGAGTCAATTTGATTCTTCATCTGGTAGTTTTATTTTTTCCTTATTTTAAATTCATTA